TTCACAGTGAGCTGGAATTGGATGAATTTTTGAATGTTATTGTAAACGCATCTTCCCCACTTTAAGACTGTGACTACAGAACCAAAGTTATCATCTAAAATGACAATATCTGAACTCTCTTTCGCCACTTCTGTTCCTTGAATCCCCATAGATAGACCTATATCTGCTTCCTTCAATGCTGGTGCATCATTCGTGCCATCACCAGTAACTGCCACAACATGGCCTTTCTGCTTCAAGCATTGCACCATGAGAAGTTTATCGAATGGGGAAGATCTTGCCATCACACAGATTTTATCAACTTTCTCCAATCGCTGCTCTGGAGTGTAATTGCGAAATTCCTCACCTTCTACCACTGCTCCACTAATATCCTGATTAGGCCTAAGTATCCCGCATTCAGTGGCTATAGCTCTAGCAGTGAAAACATTGTCGCCAGTGATCATTTTGATGTTCACTCCAGCATACTGACAAGCTTCCACAGCTTTCTGCACACCAGGCCGACATGGATCCTTTATACCTACCAATCCCAAAAGGGTCAAATTGCTGTCTTTCAAATTTTTGTTCACTTTTTCGCCTTCATTCTCTTCTTCTTGAACTTGTTTATGAGCAAAAGCAATGCATCGAAGGCTACTCGTGGCCATACCTTGAATCATTTGATCAAATTTCTTCCTTTCAACATCATCCAAGACCTTGATTTCTCCAGAGACATCATAGTAATGGGAACACATTGCGAGCACCATCTCTGCAGCCCCTTTCCAATGCACATTGATCGTACTGTCATCCTTCTTCCTCATTGAAACGCCGCTTCTTTTCTTTGTTGAATTGAAGGCTTCAACATGGAGGATTGAACAGCTCTGCTTCAGTTTCTCCATATCCATGTTTAGTTCCATGACAGCCCAAAAAAGAATTGCTTTTTCAGTGGGGCTGCCAGAGAACTCAAATTCGGGTCCTGAAGTGGACTTGTAAACAGTGCCTGTTGTATTCAAACCGACACCTTGGTGGAGCAATTCAAGAACATTGTCTGAAATTGAAGTTGAATTTCTTTCCTCCATCGATTCTTGGCCGAGCCAGAACTTTGTTACCTTCATTTGGTTGAGTGTGAGGGTGCCCGTTTTGTCAGTACAAATGACGGTGGCAGAACCCATTGTTTCACATGCAGAGAGCTTTCTCACCATTGAGTATCCCCAGATATAAACCCTAGAAACCAAAAAGAAGATCTGGAGTAGTTATCCTAAAATCTGACCCAACACGCGAATTTATAGAATCTGTCCCGCGATCTCCGCTCGAGCTCAACACAGCCCGCTCGAGCGGACTGACCAAAAACTGCGTGCGAACAAACTGAGATGCGCTCGAGCGTAGGAGCATCCGCTCGAGCTTAAAATCACACATTCCAGTATTTTTACAGGCGACTGCAGAGATGCTGAGAGCTTCCAATCCACGCTCGAGCGTCCCTTTCCCCGCTCGAGCGGACAGCTCGATCCCCGTCATAATCAGCGAAGTGGCAATCTTGAAAGCTTTATCATCACAAACTTCTCTGAAATGCTTGATTCGGGTTGGATTCGCATCTAACAACTCATAGCCTCACTGAACTAAAAATGCGAATAAAAGTACAACTCAAAGGAGTTTTGTCAAACGGGATTGCCAAGAAATAAAACCTAACATTTCTCATTTTGATCATTGTTGTTGCCTCTATTAGGTTAAGCTTGAATGACTGTAGTGACTGGAGGTTAGACAAATGCCTTTTTTTTTCAAAGCATTGTCGATAATGACTTCTCTGTTTTGACTTTTTATTTGCCAATTTTGTTTTGGTCAAAGTAGTTTGTGGCCCTTTCAAGAGTTTCATATGACAAATTTGAGTGTGGACTTATTGACAGTGTCCAATAAAGCATCTATCTAATTGTTCCTCCTTGGCACCTATCACTCTCGACAGAAAATACCAAACGTGATTTAAATAATTTATGGTTTTTAGTTAACAAGTTTTGTCTTTGAGTTTTGCCATTTTAATCTGCTTTGAAATTTTGTATTCTTAAAAGTAGTGTGCATTAGAGCTATCCTCCATATAATTTTCTTTCTAATTCATACGAATTATGGGCCAGTTTCTCATGTCCATCATGGTTTAAATTTTTTATTATTGCTAGCTACTTGATTTCTATATGAAATTTCTGACAATGTTGGTTTACTTGAAATATGCAGGAAAAACCATGGACAAAGTCGTTCAATAGAAAAGAGGCCAGCTACATGCAATAAATCATAACTTCTTGGGCAAGGATGTGAATGACATACGGATGTGGATATGTCTCCTCTCTAGTTCAGTTGAGTCATGCTGTTTAGTCCAGAGGATAAATAATAATGCTATATGCACCAATTAGTATACTAACTAGTGTACCAATTGATGATGTGGCATAATTTAAGAGGTTTTTGGTATTTGTAACGTGATTAATGAGTCGGGTCAATAATAATATCATAATTAGTATTGGTACATTAGTTAATACACTAATTGGTGCATGTAGCACCACCGGAGGATAAATTATTTATCATCAAAGAAATTTGTGAAATATAATTGCTGGTTTTAAGGCTAAGTTGGTGTTGGAACTGGGTGCTGATGAGTTTCTGCTAAAGCAATATAGTGGTTATAGATTGGAGCTTCAGAACATGATGTTGCATTTGTTTCTTTTTAATTGTAGAAATAGAAATTTGGTTTGAATTTTAAGGTTTGTTAGATGGTGTTTAAAAGACAGATGGCAGAAATTTATAGATTGGAGCTTCTAAGGTATATTTATTTTTTAAAAAACTTTTTTTTGGGGGCTAATTTGTTAATGCCTTCTATTTGGAAAGAAAACAAAATACTTGTATTGGTTAGTTGGTTCCTAATGTTGCAGGTCATATTGCCTATCTGAATCACTTATGAACTGCTTCCTTACAGTTATTAATATTTTGTTGGAATAATGAGGAGTGGGTGAGAGAATTTCTTCTTCTTTTTCCTATCGATTCAATTTTATTAAATTGTTCATATAGTTAACTAGTTGAGATTATTGCTGATTTTTTTTTTTGTTCAGGAAGGTAAAAATATAAAATTAGAAACGGAATGAGTTCAGCAAAAAGGAAGTCATGTTCGATATGGATTTTTGACATCAGCTAGTTCAAGTAATGAATTTTTTAAAAACTTTATCAAGTTTTATACTTGGCTTACCATTTCTATACTTGACTAATTTCACTAAAAAAAATTAAACTACAAGCATGAGAACACACATTCAAGTTAGAGAGAAACCATTTTGTTCCTTCTTTGTTTCTCTAATCTCTACTAGTATGAATGAACCACTTTGATTATTTTCTTTCCTTTGTTTCGATTGTTAGATTTCTATAAATCAATTTCTAATATTTCATTTCCTCTTGCTGCAGTTCATAGGTCTTTGCTACAAGTGGTGTCTTGATATGATTGGATGGCAAGTGGTGTCTTGATATGAACTGCATCATGTGGACAACAAACATTAGTGGCATAGTAGATTGTCCACAAATGCTGAGCTCAAAACTTGTATTCCTGGTAGTGAACAAACAATATTGAATTTAGATGTTAAATTGAGTGGGTTTGTGGCTTGGGATCAGTTTTTGAGGGAGTCTTTGAATTCAATAGAGTTAATAATAAATTTTGATTAGTTTGGTTTGGGTTAGATTTTTGCATTTTTGTAAGTTGAATAAATGATAATAAATAAAAGCTAAAAATACTTCTCTCCACTCTGAAGATAATTTGTTTAATTTCAACTTAAAGGATTTATTATTCTGTAATAAGTTGTAAGTAAAATTTCACTAAACAGTTGAAACATAGGTTTGAAAATAAAGAATAATAAATTGCACCAAACAACCTTTATATTGTGAAGTGCCATTATTAGCTTCTTTTTTTTTTTTTTTTTTTTTTTTTTTTTTTTTTTTTTTTTGGGAGAACGTAATGCATTTTTGCTTTTGATACCTAGGGGGTATTACTTTTGGATTGGCCACTTGGCCAAATCTGCATAGCCTAAATCAGAGCAACTCCAACAGTTCTGTCAAATGCCTTGCCAAAGCCAAAAAATTGGCTCCAGTTCACAAAATCACTCCTTTAATGGTGAGTCAAATGCCTTTCCAAAAAATGTCGGCCAAATCTTGAACCAAATTTGGATAAAAGTTTGGCAAAGATATTCGTTGCCACATTAGTTTTCCTACCAAAATTTAACTATTTTTTCTTTACCAAAACATTGTTTGGGGGCACGTGAGGATCATGGTTTTGTTGGCATGTAAAATACCTTTTAAGTTCTGTCATTGTATTTAAAGTTCTCTTTTTTCCTGTTCTTGCAAAAAAAATTCTTTGGGAATGATTTCCTCCTGTGAATCATCCTTCAAATTAGCGGACCAACCAAAGCTAATAAAGAAAGATTATTGGGAGAACACTGTGCATAATGCTTTAGATTAAATGAACTCACTCAATCATCTGCATTGTATAATTAAAAAATGATAACTTATACTGAACCCAAGTTTTGCAATATCGTTTTGCAACATTTTAACAATTTTTCCAAACTGGCAACGACATTCATAACCATATTTTTTCCCTCAAAAACACTATCCTTTTGATCTGCACCAACTTAAAATAAATAAATAAATAAATAAAAATCTATCAAATTGACAACAACCCCAGATGATAATACACCACTAGAGGCATGATTCACCGTCATGCGGTTCCCCAACAATCTAGATCTCTTGTATTCGGCAGGTCTCTAGAAAGGGCTCTGCAAACAAATCAAAATTTAAAACATAATAGTTGCCATTTAAAAAATTGCATAGCTTAGTTCCAATAGCAATTTAATCTTACACAATTCAACAAAAAAATTGAAACGTAGGTAACAGTCATAAAGTAAAGAAGATTCAAGTTTCTTTCTAACAAATTCAAAATTGTATATGATGTTAATCCATATGAATAAATTGAAGACGAGCAGAACATTTTCACATCAATCCTAAGCAAGAAAGTGTATAAAGAACTAATTTTGATACATATTTGAACACACTCACATACTTGAAGAACTCTGTTCATTCTATTCCTCTTACCAGCAAGGTTGCCTCTTTTTTTTGAAAACACACACACACGCACACACGCACACACACACACACTCATTTCTCTAATTTCTTAAAATAGAACTAAAACCACGAAATCATTATCATCTAACCCATTAACACCAACACATCCACCTTGTATACACTTGGAAGATACATTGAAAAACTCACAATTCAACCACATAATAGAAAAAGAATCAAAACGTCATAGCCCTTAATATATATGGCAACTACTAGAAATTATTTATAAAAAAAAAAAATTCATAATTAAACTTGGAACAAGAATGATTTTTCTTTTTAATAATTAAAGGACACATATAACTAATAAGAGTGGGAATATATCGCCACGACAAGGTTAACATGGTTCTTGCAAAAATAGAATTAAGAGGATTCTCAACAATCTTAAACCACAAGTAACAAATCCATCAGGCTTCAATCAGAATTCCTTGTGAAGAAATATAGGAAAAAATAAACTTATAATATCTTTGATTATGGAAAAAACAAACAAACAAAAATCTTAAAGGTTATAGTACATTCATCAATTGACATATATACTTAATGTGGGAATTGAAAATATCCTAAGACATCTAGGTTGTACAATACATTCATCAATTGCACCACATGCACAAGTATACTATGGGGGGGTGGAAGACGGCTGCCATGTATGGAAGGAAACAGTAAAGGCTCAAAAATTTGGTCCGATATCATTGGGGCAATTATATCTACACCTGTGCTACACAATTTGTACCTTGCAAACTCTGCAATTGAATTAGGGAATGGTAGGAGAGCTCACTTCTAGCTGGATAAATGGGCTGGGGAGTTATGTCCCAAGGAGGAATTCCCTAGACTTTTCTTTTTGCCTACTGATAAAATAGGAGTAGTGTATGATTTTTATAACAAGAGAGGAGGTTGTTGGCCTAGGAAGAGGAGGAGGTTAGTAAACTTCATTCTTTCCTTATGAATGCTCCAGCAATGAGGACCACCAAACCAGATGCTTGGAAATGGAAGGTTAATCCATTTGGGTTGTTTTCTGTTGCATCAGTGTATAAAAGATATGAACTCTTCTTGGGACCTGTTAGGAAAATGGCAGTG